TGACACTTACAAATTGGCTTTCTTTTTTACATAATCTTATTCATTTAATATTTCTCTGTGTCTTTTCATGGGTTGATAATTCATTTTTGCTTATAAATGGCATTCTATTGCCCAGATTGCTATAGTTTATCTAGTCACCTATTGAACATTGATAATTACTCCTTTGTCTGTGACCCTTCCCCTCTCTAAGGTTTTATTTTTTTTCCTTCTGTGTTATCTTTCATTGTTAGCAGTAGCTAATAGCTTTGTCAATCGTGGTGGAGAGAATCATTTTCCCTAAGAGACTGTCAGCCTGAGGCACTGGAAGCAATTGTTGTTCTTCTACACTTGGATATCAAGGAAGGAATTACATGTGTTCTGACCATTTTCTGTTCTACAATCAAATGCTTGAGGCTGAGTTATTTATAAGGAAAGAAGTCTCCTTGACTCATCGTGTGAGTCCTGCACTGTCTCTATAGTTTTTCTTTCTTCTTAATGTCATAGAGTTGGAATCATATTATGTATGGTCCTTTTAGACTGGCTTCTTTCACTTAATCAGATGCACTTAATATTTCTCGTTATCTCAGATGGATTGATGGCTCATTTCTTCTTATAAATGATATTCTGCTGTCTGGATTGCAACAGTTTAATTATCTATTTACTTATCAAAATATATTTTGATCACTCCCAAGTGATCAAGATTTATCTATCTACTATAAATATGTTTGTGCTGGTTTGGGATTTGCTCATTTGTGAGGCAGATTCTTGCTACATAGTTTAGGCATGGCAGGAACTCATGATCCTACTGCTGCTTGCCCCTGTATGTTACAGTTACAGACGTGCCCATTGAAGGACTGACCCCTATCCTATTATCCCAGGTCCCTACAGAGGCCAGGCTAAATCCCAGGTATGTGTGAATTTGTTTGATGTGCTGGCAGGGCAATCCACTTAAGCCTAGCTGTAAACATCCCAAATGAAAAGCCCCCACCTCCCTGACCTAGTGGCTTTTTCATTAACCTCTGCCTTCTTGCTCGGACCTCATATAAAAACCCAGCTCCTCTCCTAACTCTCTGGCACAACCTCCAAACTCTCGGGAAGGTCTGTGTCCTTTGTTGTTCTATCTCAATAAACAGTCCTCCAGCCTATTACTTTTCCATTCTCCTCCATTTTCCAACGCCCAACATATCTGGTCTTTGTATTGATAGAAATCTTCACCAGAAGTAGATAAATACTAAGTGAAACTATTATACCAAGCTGTATTTAACTTTGTAAGAAACTACTGAGCTGTCTTTTACAGTGGTTGTACCATTACTCTACACTTTCAAGGCATAGCTGAAGCAGCTGTGCCAGGATGCAGTATTGTTTTCTGTTTTGTTTTGTTTAGTTTTCTTATTTATATGTTGGTACTGGTGCTTGAACTCAGGTCATCTCCCTTGGTCTTTTTATTCACAGCTGTGCTTTTTGCTGATTTATTGGTCATAAGAGTTTCAAGGATTTGTCTGCCTGTCCAAGCAGGCATTCAAACCACAGTCTTCAGATCTCAGCCTGCTATGTAGCTGAGATCAGAGGCCTGGGCCAGCAGTGCCAAGCACCACATTGACTTTTTAGGCAGACAAGTACCTTAATTCCTGGTGCCCAAGGATGCTGAGGTATACTATTGTGACTACAAGCAAGGTGTATAATGATAGTCTATGATATCACAGGGCAAATTCCTTTGCTTTGTGCTCAGTTAACCAAATATACATTATTAGAGGATATATCTAATGAATATGTAACTTAGGGCTGCTGAGAGCTACAAAGTCCCAGAATATGCCTGTAAATACAGGGACAACCTGACTGCATCCTCTTCATGAAAAAGACCCTGGATGCTCACACTATCCAGCTGTCTCTGTCTCCTCTTCCCTGCAGCTACCTGATGCTTCTACTAGTTATTCTTCTTCCTTCCATGCAGCTTTCCTCTTGACTCAGTTTTCCTTGTTTTCTCTCACAATACTTCTCCAATTTCTCAATCTCCCCTCTCTGTATCTATATATCATCTTTGTTTCTTTGTTTCTGTCTCTCTCCCTTTCTCCCTCTCTCCTCTCTCTGTCTCTTTCTGTCTCTGTCTGTCTCTCTCTGTCTCTCTGTGTCTCTCTGTCTCTGTCTCTGTCTGTCTCTCTCTCTCACACACACACATTCTCTCTCTCTCTCCTCTCTCTCTCTCTCTCTCTCTCTCTCTGCTGGAACCCAGGCCTAGTGCATGCTAAGCAAACATGCTACCATTAGCCTATATATGCAACCAGCACTTCTCATCTTTAACAACATTTCCTTCACCTTCCTCCTGAGAGCCCTTTCCATAATTACCCTTGGAGCCTTCACAAGGAACAGTCTGCTCATTCAGAGATTTCAGTTTCACCATGGGGATGCAGCTCATGCTAGTTGGAGCAAAGCCCTGAGTTCAATCCCCAGTGCCACTAGAATGGAAAGAGAAAAGTAAAGAGAGAACTAAAGAAGGGAAGAGGAGACAAAAATGGATGTAAGGAGGGGGACATGGACCTCAGTTTCAAGCAAGTCACTCTTTCAAGACTGTGGCTTTAAAAAAAATGGACTGATCACAATTCTTTGAAATTTTAAGAAGTCTCACAATCCTTTAATTTTACCTCTTCCTCCCAACACCCAGATTGTGTTTTTGTTGTTGTTGTGCTGTGTTTTGGTTTGCCGGACATGGGGCCTGAACTCTGGGCCTGGGCGCTGTCCCTCAGCTCTTCAGTCAAGGCTATGCTCTAGCACTTGAACTGCCATACCACTTCTGGCTTTTTCTGCTTATGTGGTGCTGAGGAATCAAACTCAGGGCCTCATGAATGTGAGGCAAGCACTCTACCACTGAGCCACCTTCCAAGCCCAGATTCTATTCTTTCAATCATATATTTTACAAATCCCAGGGTCTATCTTCCCATCAGACCCTTGTACTTTCTTGTTACTGATTTCTGCTGGGTATACTCTGATGCTGACTGAAGTTCATCCTGCCTTCTCCAAACCTGTCCTAAGCAGCTCTGAGTTGCTGATTAACAGCTGCTGACTGGTTTTGTTTGAAGTCCTACACAGGGACACTCACTGTCACACCTGATACTCACTTCTGGTGGAAGGTCTTACTTTCATACCTCCCCTGATCTTCTAAGTTCCCAGATTCTCTTTCTCATTTAGTCTGGCTAATGAGGCAGCATCTCTCATCTCCCTTCTCCAGTGGAGAAGCTCTTCTGAATTTCTACCTGGTTCTGTTATCCACCAGCTGTCAGGGAGAAAGCCTACTCTCCTCAAGTCGTATTTCTCCTGGGGCTCTGCATGACTCACCTCTCAAGATGTTTGCTCCTATCCTTACCATCTCTTCCCTGAACCATCAATTCTGCCTTCTCCGAGGTGTCCTTTCTGCCATTGTTTAGAAAGAATGTAACCTACACTAAAAAAGCACAAACCCCTGTGTAAACTGGGTGCCAGTGACTCATGACTCATGCGCGTAATCTAAGCTACTCAGGAGGCTACAGTCTGAAGTTCACACTTGGAAGCCAGCTCCAGACAAGAAAAGTCCTTGTGACTCATTTCCAATTAACTATCAAAAAGCCAAGTAAAGGTATTGCTCAAGTAGTATAGTACAAGCCTTGAGTGAAAAAACTAAGACAGTGCCCAGGCCTCATTCAAGTCCCAATACCAACACACAAAAAGAAAGCACATGTAATGAAAACATCTCAGGGATTATTTTGTGTTTATTTCTGGTCAATCATTATCTCCATTGGCAACCAGTAATACTGTCATTTCTATCAGAACTTTGCTTGATTTTAGACTTCATGCTGATGGAATTATATAGCATACATGTTTGGTATCTGCCTTCTTTTGTTTAATAGGATATTTTTGTGATTGATCCATGCTGTTTTGTATCACAGTAGGTCTCAATGTTCATCTAATCTTCTGGTGATGGAGAGTTGAGTTATTTCCAGGGATTGCTCAACTATAAATCAGGCTATCTCTAAACATTCTTATCCAGATATGGATGTACTTTTTTTGTTTTCATTCATTTTTTTCCATTTTGAAAATCTATGGTGAACTTTATGAGGCACAAACAGATAGCCCTTTCACATGGCTGTACCATTTTGCATTCTCTGAAGGGCAAAATAAGAACATTCCACTTGCTTCATTTCCTCCACAGAGTTAGGGTTATCAGACACGTCCACTTATTCCAATTCTATCAATCATAAAGCGTAAACCATAGGGCAAAACATTAGCCCCCAGAGAGATTTGCTATTGTTACTATCAGCTTCAAGTTCACCATGCTTCACTCTTCTTGTCTTAACCTTATTATTATACTCGCTAGCATGGACCATCTCTTTTTAAGCATCATGTCTATCTGGATATCTATTCAAGTATGGGGTTTTCAGCAACCATCTCACCAATACCTTCCATGATATGTGGCAAGTGTGTAATAAGCAGAGTTGTTTTCTGCAACTACCTCGCTTTTAATGCTGTCAGTTTCTGCTTCACGATCTGTCCTTCGAGTTATTCTGTCTCTGTTGCTGCAAGGGGCTTCAAATGTCGCCTTTCTAATAACAATAGATCAACAGGTATGGAACTCCAGGAACCTCCTCCAATTGAGAATCTTGGGAGGAAACGTGGGGTGTGGAGGATACCCTTGCAATTAGAAAAAGAGGCCAGGCGAGCTACACAGCATGACAGGAGCCAGGCACACGCTGACTCTGGGTGCTACAGCCAACTTTATGGTTCAGACGCTCAGGGCTTGCAGCCCCCAGATTCTACTCCCTATTTTTCTCCGCCCCTGCTCACAATGTAGTTAACTAATGGTCACATCATAGTCCTTCCTCACTGGCTTTCCTCGTTCCCACCCCGTGCGGGCTGCTGGCTGGGGAAAGGGAGGCAAGGCGGGAGCGCCAGGCTCAGCATTGCAAGCCTGGTGGGAAGCTGGGCAGGGCCGGGGAAGGCTGGTGGCTCAAGCCTGGCAAGAGGAGGGGAGCCCAGCCCAGGAGGCTTCGGCGATGCTGGAGAATGCATCTTTCGCCAACTGCTGCGAGCCAGGTGGGCTGTCCCGGCGTCCGGGCTGGCGGGACGCAGACCCCGCGCCGCCATCCAGCAGCCCCCGGCTTCCCTGGGTGGCCCCGGCGCTGTCCACGGTGCTCATTATCACCACCGCGGGGGACGTCGTGGGCAACCTTCTAGTTATCCTGTCGGTGCTAAGGAATCGCAAACTCCGGAATGCAGGTGAGCGCCCATCTGTGACAGGACCCCTGCCAGGCCTGGCTGCTCCTCTCCTCAGTCTCCAACACCGTCTTCTCTCCAGCATCTCTTGACTCTGAAGTTAGGGCGAGTTTGGAGATCCCCTAAAGAAGCTCGTTCTGGCGTCTGCCTCTAGCACGTTAGTGCCAGGGTGAAGCAGACAAAGGTTTTGTTTGTTTGTTTGATTTTGTTGGGGGGGCGGGTGCTTTCTTTTTTCAGGATGTGGGGGTTGGGGACACCCGCATGCAGCCATTCTACCTATGGCCTCACCAGCTGATTTGGCCAGCTGGCTATGGGGATATCACTGCCACTGCCCCCTACCAAGCTCTGTAAGTCATACACTAGGTACTTAGAAAACACTGGAATTGTGGGTGAAAGCACAGCACCCATTCTGGTGGCTTTGGGGTCAAAAATCCCATCCCAAGAGTCCTCTGACAGAATGCAAACGCAGACACTGCAAGCCCTGAGAGGGCAAGCACTCCGTTGCTCTTTAAGACTAATTTGCTTTGAGCACAGTTCTCAACCTCCCCCACCCCCAAGACAGAAATGCCCTGAGATTAACTGTGAAAATCAAAACAATAATTTGGCTAAATCATGTTGCAATCCTGGAAATGTTTATCCCTTTCAACTTTCTTTTATTCAGTTCTGCAAGGCAACCAAAGAAGAAATTGGGAAGGAGGGAAGCAAGGAGGGAGGGAGGGATGAAGGGAGGGAGGGAGGGAGGGAGAGAAGAAGGTAGGGAACTCTGTCCTGACAGGTCAGTGAAGATAGCTGCCATTTCAGCCTGGACTGGAGCTCATGGCTGGTTTCTAATTCTGTAATTTCTGATCATAGGCCTTAGGGGGCAACTGAAATATTAATGTGAATTAAAATGGAAAAAAGAACAGCAGCAATCTAATTGTAGGGTTTCGAGAAGCCACTGTACTAGTCCATGTTATCCAGTAAGGGCATTTTAGTAGATAATTATACATGTTTTAGGGGAGGGAGGTCTAGGACTTGGAAAAAAATTTCATATGTCAAGCAAGCTAAAAATAAAAGTGTGTTTCTAGCTGTGGGAAACTTCACATTACCAAGGAGAAATAAGCTAGCTTTCTAACTCAAGTATTTCAATCACCATGGCTAATATTATCTCAAGTACATGTTTCAAGACGTTATTGCAGTCTTGAAGAGAAACACTTAATTAGGAAAGAGCAGGCTGTGATTGAAAACTTGTGTTTAATAGTTTCAATTGTAATGTCCTTTACAGTAGCCCCCAACATTCATTTCCTCCCAGTGAGGCAGGAGGAATGCTGTTCCAGGCTTTTTCCCCAAGAAAGGAGAGAGAAGGGAAGAAGGAAAGGCAGAAGGGAAGATAGGGAGGGAAGAAGGGCCCTTGGACACTGGCTGGCTTGGTACTTGGGAAAGGCCTGTCCAGTTGATGCACCTTGTTCCTGGGTGCAGTTGGATTGGCTACTGCAGGAAAGTGGTAGAGGAAAAGGCTATTGCCTCCTCTGTCCTCTCCTCCTCCCTCCACCTCATGACTGATTTCTGTGATCCTGGCAGCACCCAAAGAAACCTTACTTCCCTGCCCAGGGTAGAGAAGAAACATGCTAACCTAGAAGTACATCCTCCTTTCCCTTTCTATTCTTCCTGTCCTCAGATGTCTGCTACAGCTCAAAACAAAAACTATCTAAAAACATATCTAAATGTCATTCATTGAGCCACATCCATCGTCTATTTTTTTTTGTTATCAAGGGTGGAACTCAGAATTGTGCACATGTAGGCAAGCACTGTACTACTGAGCTATAATGCACAACCCTTAACCAGTTTTTATTTTATATTTTTGTGTCAGTACTGGGGTTTGAACTCAGGATTTTGCACTTTTGCTTGGCTTTTTCTCTTAAGGCTTGTACTCTATGACTTGAACCACATCTCCACTTCCAGCTTTTTCCTGAACTTATCTGCCCTGGCTATGTTTGAACCTCGATCTTTGTATCTCAGCCTACAAAAGAGCTAGGATTACCACCAGTGCTTGGCTTCTTAACAGTCACAATAAATTGTAGCATTAACTTAAACTAAATGACCTTGAATGAGATTTCAAAAGGTAATTAAAAACCTGTAGCACTTTGCATAGTGAGCATACATTTCCCTCTTTATTTGGCTGTCTCTTCCTAAAGCATTCATATTTACTTAAAAAAAAACTGATATCAGACTTTCCCTTCTTACATCTGGCTCCCCAGTTCATGGTTCATTGTATTAAGAAATTAGGGCCTGGCACCTCTGGCTCATACTTGTAACCCTTGTTACTTAGGAGGCTGAGATTTGAAGATCACAGATTAAAGCAAGTCAGGATAGGAAAGCCGTGAGATTCTTATCTGGAACTATAGCTAGAGTGAAAGAGAACTAGCCTTGAGCAAAAATGCTCAGTGATGGTGCCAAGGCCCTGAATTCAAGCCCTAGTACCAGCATACACACATACACACACACACACTAGGACTGTGATGTTGTGAATACATACATTTCACAACCCAAATTCCATTAACGACCTTTATCCCTGGCTCAGTTCTCTATCTGGCTCACACCTATTGTCACTCCCCCTCCAGTCTTTTCCACCTGTTTCTTTTTCTTCAGCTTATTTACACATCAAATATCTTTGTTGTTGGTGGTGGTGGTCATGGGACTTGAACTCAGAGCCTGAGCACTGTCCCTGAGATCTTCTGCTCAAAGCTAGTGCTGTACCACTTTGAACCACACAGACACTTGCAGTTTTCAAGTGGTTAATTGGAGATAATAGGCTCATAGACTTTCCTGACTGGGCTGGCTTTGGACTATGAATGATCCTCAGATCTCAGCCTCCTGAGTAGCTAGGATTATAGGCATGAGCCACCAGCACCCCAGTTCAAGCATCTATCTTCCCTTGGCTTTCTGTCTCACCCTAACCTCATCACCATCTTTAGTGTTCCCTTCTCATGCCGTGTTTGGCTTCCGTGCCAGGAGTGGTGCTGTTGAGCACCTCTGTGCTCCCACTTCCCAGCATCCTGTGTGCCCCCAAGAAAGCAGCCACTTCTTTGTGGTGTTACATTTGTCTCAGTGCTGACCAGACATGTCTTCATTAAAATAAATTGCATACAGAAATATACCAGGAAAGAACGAGACGAGATGTTGCTAAAGATGTAGCACAGACTTCAGTTACAGCTTTCAGCACAAATTCAGTGCAACTTTTGTGGCAGGGAATTGCTTTGAGCACTGAAAGCACGTTCATCACACAGGCAAGCCTGCTGTTGGATTGTTTTTATACAGTTAGAGCTGCTAAGCAGATCCCAGCCATACCACACTTCTCAGAAATTGCCCCTCTGTGACTTCTCTCAGAGAAGGCCCCTCCCAACCTTTCTGGCTTTCCTGAGCCACTTTAAATTGTCTATGAATCATGGTCTTCCAGCCAAGTACCCATAGCTCACACCTATAATCCTAGCTACTCCAGTTGTTTTTTTTGGAGGGGGGTCCGGTCATGGGGCCTGAACTCTGGGCCTGAGCGTGTCCCTCAGCTCTTCAGCTCAAGGCTAGCACTCTACCACTTGAGCCACAGCGCCACTTCCGGCTTTTTTCTTATGTGGTGCTGAAGAATCGAACCCAGGGCCTCAGGCATGCAAGGCAAGCGCTCTACCACTGAGCTAAGTTCCCAGCCCTCCTAGCTACTCCAGGAGGCTAAGATCTGATCATCTCAACTTGAAGTCATCCAAGTAGACAAACTTATCTCCAATGAACTAGCAATAACCCAAAAGTGGGTGGTGTCAGTGGTAGAGCATCAGCCACACAAGAATGAGATGGCCTGAGCTCAAGCCCAAGTACTGGCACAGAGATAGGAAAAGAAAAACAACACAGCCTTCAGTATAGTTAGCACACTGCACTAGCACCAAGAGTGCATATTCTCATTGTCATCTCCAGTCCCCTTTAGCAAAGAGAAGGCAAACCCAGCAGTTCCAGGCTTGCCTGACTGCAGACACAGAGACCCCAGCTTCATAGGTAACAGGAGGTGGTGCCAACAGTGGACTTTCAACATTATGACTGGACAGAGGCTATCTGGGAGGTGTGGTAAGTGAGTAGACCCTGCAGCATGTCGAGGATCTCTCAGTCATGTGAAAGGGCAGAAAAACAGCAGACACTGGGACTGCCCAGGACCATGTGAACGATCTGTTTGCTGAGCACAGGCCCTTGTGCAGGGTCAGTTCTACCAGGACCAGGAAAGCCCCCCCTCCTCCATGTGCCCACCAGCGCTTGGCATCCACACCCTCTCTTATCTGGAACCAGTGCCTGGACACAAGGTGTTTGATGGGTACCCTGCCTGTGTATTTTTTGTACATCCCCAGATAGACTGGAGCAGAGCCTGCAATGTGCTCCCCTTCCTTACTACTTTTCTTTTTAACAAGGAAATGAGCCTTGTCTGTGTAAGTAGAGTGTCCCTGGACAGTAGCACTAAGAAGGCCTAAAGGAAAGTGTTTAGCAGACCCACAGTCCCTGAGCTCCTCCATTCTGGCATTATGCCACCACACCACTCATCCACCCAGACACATGGCTTGTGTCAGACCCCTTGAGGCCTGCTGAGAAGGCTGGATTTGGAGTGCTTGTTATCAGCCCAAGACCAAACGAGGCTACCTTGGATCCCCTCCCTAATGTTTCTGAGCTTTCCAACTTCTGTATTTTGGCCCTGAATACCTTATTATCTCTTCACTGAGCAAAACTGAATACTTTTAAAAATCCCCTAATTATGTCTTTAGCCGAATAATGAGGAGAGCTCTTAATCCCTTTTAATTCCTCCCACAAATCTCTCAGCAGTCCAGGCACATAAAGACTTTCATGTTTAACTGCCTTTATCTCTAAAATGTTGGAGTCTATTCAGATACAATATTCTGCAAAACGCAGAAGAGAATGGGAAGGGGAAGCTTGGAGAAAGCAAATGAAGGTGTGACATTGTCCAAAGAAAGTAGTGTACTCATTACCTGACTGAT